TGATACATTATATTTTACATACACTATAATATAGATGTATGAGTTGGTGGTTTTTTTTTCTTCTTGTCTGATGATGGTATCTGTGAGATAGATAGCGAAATATCACGTGTTATGAATTATGTCAAAATTTTTGCTGTTGTTAATTTTTTATTTCATATCATGTTCATTGTATTTTATTGTTTTTGTTGAAGGTTCGAATTTCGAGAGTTATTTATTACAATATTTTCATTTATATGTATTTGACAATAAGACAATCATAATCGAACTAAATTGACTAATAAAATTAACTTTGAGTATATAGAATGAAAATTTTCTTTATTTCAAAATAAATACCAATGTATTGCATTCTCGCGGTGCAGGAGTATTATTCAATGAAAGAATATTTCTATTACTTTTTCTTTTGTTCTTTCGAACAAAAAACAGAAACAGTTTTCATTAAAGATTTTGATAAAAAAGCTCTTAGCGTAATCCCTGTGGGATTAAAATGTTCAACACGAAATAGCTGGTGTTACTAATAGAAACATGTGTTTAACAACTTGATTTAGGTCAATATTGTATATAGCCAATACTCTCACTAATTCTTCAGTCAAAATTAAATAAATAGTTTCCTAGATGTGTTTAGTTTGTCTAGAAACTCACTTTAGAGGCTATGTCTGCCATGGTCTGTAACGGGAGTGGGGGGAGGGAGGATGTTGCTAAGGTGTCTGTCATGTCTGTGAGGAGGAGGAGGAGGAGGCAGGAGAGTGGATCCAAATTTCTACCCCTATACTTCAACATTTCCTTTTAGTTCCTGTTTCACAAAATATTTCGAACAGAAAAAAAGAAACAATTTTCATTAAAGATTTTGATAAAATATATTCAATCATTTTTAAAAATTCATAGAATTAGTATGGAACAGAAATAAAAATCGATTTTATAATATGTTGTAAATATTTCAATTTTCTATCTTAGAAATATTTTTTATCAATTCATAAATATTCAAGAAGTAAATATCTATATGAGAAGAGGGAAATTGATGGCTTATCAAGGAAGTAAGTGCAGGTTAAGTGCTTCCGACATCTTCAGCATCCATAGCACCTGTTCGGTACTGAGAGCAGCCGAATGATGCTGAAGGTGTCGGGGTCACTCAACCTGCACTTTTCCCCTTGTGACTTATATTGTCTGACATTCTACAGACTAGGGTGTGTGGTTGTGGGTGTGGGTGTGGGTATTCTCCTTATCCATACCCACACCCACACCCCACACCCACACCCACACACCCATACCCACACACCCATAATCTAGCGGAATTTTTCAAAACATTACTGAATGTATTGCAAGTCAATCATCTGATGCCACAAAAACGAAAATTCGAGATTTCCATAAACTGCTTTTAGATGGAGATCCTGCGAGTCTAAGCATTTTTTAGTAAAGCTTTATAAAAGTCAGCTATGTGCTTGAACAAGCTCTTTCCTGGCTACAAAAAACAACAATAGAATCGTATTACTTTCACTCCAATCCCATAATCATAGAGTTTTAATTAAGTTAAACGTTACCAGAAAAAGTTAAATTTAATATCAACGTTCAAGTAATCAGTCGAAGCCTATTATCAAATTAAGATAAGTAGTTCAGTTCTACACTTAGGTAGATCTGAAAAGGTTATTGATAAAATGTCTAGATAGCTCTTTAACGATTGTACATATAATGCCCAGATTGGTCTCTAAAAGTTACTGTTATGATGCTCAGGCAGGTCTAGAAAACTCACAAGCATAGGGTCTAGCTAGCTTCTGTTACGTTAGTATACCGTGGTCTGAAAGAGCCCGAAAACTTATGGCTATATTCTTCCACCAAGTATGGAATCAAGTCTTATTGATAAAATTCGGATCAACAATTGTGGTCAAAACTTTGAGTTTACGTGTCGAGCTCATTTATGGGATCCAGACAGTTGGTCGCAGAGCAATTGGTCACTATGACATTTGGTCGCATAGTATAAAGTAGAAACAACATGAGATGAAAAAAAAATTGAACATTATTTATTATATTATGAATAATTAAATAGAGAACACTACAGGGTATGAGTGTGGATATAGAATAAATACGAGTAGCCGCATCCACACCTCACACTCATACCCACACCCATCCACACCCTGTAAAGTTGTCAATACTTAGAGACATCACCAACTCTGAAAGAGGATAGAGTTCGAAAGTGATATTATTTACACATCCCTACTGCGTCGTGTTTTTTTTTGATTCAGCTGAAGGATCGTCTTTCTTTTGGATACAGACAGTCATAATCACTTTCACTTTTATTTATACAATGCCTTTAACAGTTTAAGATCGGATGGTCCCGAAGATATACGGAACTTTTTTAGGCGAAATTTTACTATTTATATAATTTTATTAATTTTCTTCTAAGTTCATGTTAAAAGAAATGTGCCGCAAAATTCTCTTCAAAAATTCTATATAATGTTTTATTACAAATTATAAGAACAGGAAGCTGCACGAAAAATATTCAATATCTCCGAAGTTACCAGCTTTCTAAAGCACGTATTAGTATTTCTTAACGTTTTGCTAAGCAGTGACAAAAGTATAATCATATATGAAATTAAATTTTCCGTTGCTGTGAATAATGCAGATCTAGCCGTTGTAACAGAAGTTATGCAAAAGGTTGATTCTGGGTCCAGTAACATCACACATTTTTAATAGATTAGAAATCAATAACAAATTGACTGTGATTTGTTTTTATTGTAACCGATCCGCTAACAACTGACAATCGACAAAAGAACCATGATTTTAGTCATTTAAAATGGATCTTTCCTTACTTTTGCATGACTTATTTTTTACATGAGAGTGTGTCCGCAGTTTTTACAGGTAGGTATTGTAGTTATCGCTTTAATGAAATTACTTGTTGATTCAGAACGATGTCAATTTTTGCCGAGTGATTTTGACTTGAAATCGACCGTTCGTTAGAGAAGATATTTTTTTGTGAACTGAAAACTATGCTTTTTTTATACTTCGGCTGACTAGGCCTACCGTTGAAAATGGATAGTTTTTGTTTTACCCTGAGTTTCACATGCTCTAAAATAAAAAGAAGAATGACACCTCTGTTTAATGGAAAGTTGAAAATTCTGTTGGATTTTTCAATCAGAGACTTTACTGTAGTATGTAGATTGAATTCAGTGACTAGTGCGACTTTTTATGAAGATTACTACTTATTCCTACTGTATTTTTATTATGATATTGACGTGACAAAAATACACAGGCTCAGACAGACAGGCCAGGTTGAGAAAATCAGAGAGCAGGCACAGGCACGCTAGGAGAGATGTAAGTCTGTCACAGGGAGGCCAGACCTTCGAAAAGTCGGCCTGTTTGGACCTCTGGTTTGTATTATAATGCATGAAGCGACAGTCGATGTCCTTTATTTGTGTCACATCGTTAAGAGTAGCTTTTTACCGATAACTCTTTTGAACAAAGATATTGAGTACTGCTTTTTTCCGAGTATCTATAGTAACTTCAGATCATTATTCAAGATACCCGAATATATATATCATATAGGAGAGAGAACGCTACGAAAAGATGGCAAATGATGACATGAAGGAGAGGAGTTCATAATTTGAGAAAAACACGAACATGTTAACATGTGAACGGTCCCGAAGACGACTTGCGAACAAAAAGAAAAAAATGTTCCTTTTTTTTTCAAGTGACAGAAAGGAAGAATTTTTCTTTAGTATAAATATATCTAATAAGAAAAGAAAATTTTTTTCATTAAAGTAATGCTGCATAGTTGTTTTTATTTATTTGCAAGAAAAAAACTCTTTTTATGGATATTTTACTTCATTGGAACTATTTTATTTGTTTCATTTAGTTATAAAACAGGTAATAAATAAGATGAGTTTACTTCTCATTGAATAGATTTTATTTATAAAATAGCTAATCAATTATATCAAACTTCATTGATTACTGAATCATCATTTTCTACACGTTTATTAAATATTCATCAAACAACGAATATTTCATTACAAAGTGTATCATTTGGTTACGAAGACCAAAATCAATGTTTTAATAATAGTAAATCATTAGATCATACTCTTTCAAATATAACTCGTCAAAATAAAATAATAAATTATCTTGGTTTTGTTCTTCGATCTCATTCATTATTTTATTGTTCAGTTCCAAAAGTAGCTACACGAACTTTACTTAGGTTTATTACTTATCTTCATATACGTGATGATTTAATTCCTTTACTCAAAAATCATTCAATATTTAATAGCAGTGTAAATTTCACAAATCATTTAAATATTTTTAATGTTGCTGATTTCAATCAAGTGCTTTTGTCTTCAACTAGGGTAAAAATAAGAATATTAAATTTTCTTTGTCCTTCTGAGAGAATTTTATATGGCCTCGTTTTTCTTTCGTTTGTCTCATTTAAAAATCTACAAGCATGAAAAAAAAAGGAAAGAGTAAAAGAATAAATAATAGAACCATGCATTTTTCTTTCTGACACTCTCGTCTTATTTGACTGTGTTCTTTTAGTGCAAAATGTTATTACGCTTTACTAAAAATAGTTGAAAAAAACTTCTCTCATTGTGACCTATTCATATAAAGATTCATATATCTAGGAACAAATTCTAATTGTAATAATATTTTTATCGTTGAAAAATATTTCATAATGATGAAAAACAAAGAATTCATTTTACATCAATGAGAATATATATCAAGAGATACAATTCTTTATTTAACTGTATATCGAACAAGACAAAAGATTTTAGTCATTTTATTTATTAGTAATGAGTCAGATTGAATCAATTTCATAGTCATTTATTGAGATATTTCGCTTACTTTCAAGTTTAATAATCAGAAGAGAATTGATTTTTATTTTATCTAGAAAATTTTAGAATAATACTCAACCATCTACGCATAATGCAATTTCAATTCTTGAATCACTTCTATCACGTCTTATGGTATTCAATAATACACGGTCAAAAACAGTTGATTTATGGTCAATGTATCAAAGAGAAAGTTTTCCTCTTACTCGTCTTCGTACTTTATCCGATCCATCCATACTATTTTCATCAAATTTTACTCGTGTAATTTTTGTTCGTCATCCATTCGAACGTTTAGCATCAGCTTATGTTGATAAAATAGCTACGCTTAAAAATGAATCATTTTCATTGTATGACAATCTTCGTCGAGCAATTTGTCGAAAATATTCTTCGTTTTATTTAAAAAAAGCTAAAAGAGGTTTTTATCGCATTCATAAACGCATATCAAACAAAATGAAGGAACCTTGTCAAAAAATAATTCCAAAATTTGAACATTTCATTCGTTATATAATGTCTGATTCATTACACGACGATGTTCATTGGCAATCCTATTCAAAATTATGTCATGCTTGTTTATTCAAATATAATTTCATTGGAAAATATGAAACAATAGAAGAAGATTTTCAACGATTAAAGTTATATCTTGGATTAAAATCAATTAATTCAAATAATGAAAAGTATTTTACGACAGGAAAAACAAAAGAATATTACAAATCATTGTATTCGAATTTACCTAATGAATTAATTTGTAATTTGAAATATTTTTATGAAGATGATTTTAAATTATTTGATTATCGACTAGAAGATTATTTGACTAATCAAAGAACTATTCAGTGTTCTCCTTCACATAAGCAATATTTTAAAAAAAGAATTAGAAATTGATATTTTTCTATATTCTCGTTTTTTCAAATTCATAGGAAACATATTATTATCTTTTTCTTGGTGTTTAGAATTGTTAAATGTATTGTTCAGGACTAAACTTGAAAGTCTCGAATTCAAACTTCTTTATAAACACAATAGAATTGTCGTCAAAAGAACACTCGTGCTAATGAAATAACAAATACTGCATACTTGGATCATGTGAATCAGTAACATAAGAAACAAGTATAATCATGATAATCAACATTTTACGAGGTGTCGTCAGTTTTTCATGCGAAGAAAAATTTTTGTTTCTAATAAAACGTTGGAATAATGTTTGATTTCACTTGGGAAAAAAACGAAAGTTTTCCATGATTGAGAAAGAGAGCATTACATGTTCGATAGACTCTTCCGTGAGCATAATCTTTCTCTCGATATAACTATTTCTATGACAAAAGGAAATAAAAAGTAGCGAACCATGATAATGCTAATATGTTCATCATTTAAAAGAACGTTCAGCACATGGCTGTCGAACTCAGATATAAGAAAATCATTAGTTACTTGACAAGAAACTAGCAGTTGACCAGGAGATTTTACCAAAAACAGTAGAAAAAACGAGTTGATCTTTATGAAACCGCAGTAACCATTTAGCTGAATTGTCTCGAAAGAAAATGAAATTTTCGTTCAGATACCTATCTATTTCTTTCTACTACAAACTTCGTGATGACAAGACTATACTCTAATTGATACATAAGGAAGAGAAAGAAAGATCATATGTACATTTTCTCAAAAATAAATAAGCTGGCAGATTCGATAAATATTCTTTTTTTAATCCTTTTTCAAAATAAATTTTGAAATAATTTAATACATGATTATCGAGGAGTTTTCAATTTGAACTTTTTTCAATGAAATAGGACCCATATTTTTGCTTGTTGAGGTAAACATTATGACAAAAAATTTTCTTCAATAAACCTTAGATATCACTGTTATCATCTTCTTGCAATATATGCATTCGATAAAATTACAGTTGGTGTTTCTTTTTATTCACCATTTCACAAAAAATCTTTGCGATAAGATTTTATTATGAAATTGATCATCTTAGTCTTAGATAACTGAAGTAGAAATAATATGCTTTCTTGTCGGTTATTGTATTTATGAAATACTTTGATAGTTGGCTTTTTGCTTTTTTAATTGATTCAAGATGCCACTAAAAGCCACAGTGACAAAACTCCTAAAAACGAAGAGATGACACAAAAAAATATAAAAACCAGCTCCTGGTTTCAGGAGATTTTTTCACGAAGAGAAAAGTCCTAAAACCTGAAGTGTTCTGGCTATATCAGGTGATTTGGCAGCCCTGTTACTGAACTGACCCTCATTCACTTTTTATTTTGTAGGTGATAGAAAATTATATTGTTTCTTCAACTGATACCTACTTGAAAGAAGAACAATACTGAACCGAAAATATCTGATTGTGAAGAAAGAATAGTAAGGGGTGTACAAGACGTTTCGAAGTTATTTGAAAATCAATTGTTCTTGTATTGAACAAGAGCAAACTCTTTTAAATTTTAGCAAGTCTAAGTACTTAATTCCCATACGGAACAATTACAACGTTTAGATCTTTGGTTTTTAAAATAAATGAGATGTCGTATGAGTATTATCAAGTAGTCTTTTCACAACTAGCAAGATGATCCTAATTCTTTTTTATTGAACAATATTACTTTTGAAAATACAAAGAAAACTATATTTCATGGTCAATACTTGATAATTTGACCATCCTCCTGATTTGTTGTAGGGTGTGGATATAGGGAAGCAAGATTCACATCTTCAGTCATCATTTCAATATTGGATTAAATCGATTTTTTCTGATAAAATAAAATATTTTCTTTCTTTCTTTCTTTCTTTCTTTCTTGCTTTATTCATTCCTTTATTTCATTATTTATTTCTGTATTTATTTTTCTTTTCTTTTAATTTTTTCTTTATTGTACAACATTAACGTCGATCTCCTTCCTCACGATGACGACGTTGGAGCTGGTGTGGTGGTGCTGGATTTTGTTGTTGAGATGGTGAATGTTGTAGAGGTGCATGTCCTTGGGTTACCATTACTAATTCAGAAATATACCTCGTCAAAGAATCATAAAACAGCGTCAGGTTGAACCCAAAGATGCACCCAAGGATGAAAGAAATGATGTTGAGAATCATCTAGAACACATACAAAGTTATAAGTGACTCATTTCATGATAGACTCTTATGACTGAGACTAGAATACAATACACATAATCGCTATTTCGAATCGTTTCTCTATACTAAATGAGCTACTCGGTCACGTGTCATTCAATATGATAGTTCTTTCCTGATCTTCGTCGTGAAAACGAATATAAATAACAAACGTTTGGAAAAGTCATATCAATCGATAAAGAAATTTTCGTTCATCTTGGGAAAACTGATATCACAGACAATATCGAGAAATGATATGCATGCAGCTTAGTTAAAAGAAAGAAAAACATAAACATTTATGTTGATTTCTTCTTTTGTTAGCTTCAGAAAATGATGTTATCATCAGTTCGTTGTTATCAATTAAATCCTTCCAAATATTAACATTCATTTTCATTATTTAATGAATATGATTATTCGATTCGAATCTTTGGCGGAACTGTTCGATATATTTTACTAGGGTGTTTCACTACATGATATTGATATAGCAACAACAGCAACAACAAATGATATATTAAAACTTGTTCGAGGTGATTCAAATATTAAACTTGTCTATATATGTGCTAAACATTTTGGAACATTAACACTTGTTGATACAATTGCACGAGCAAGTGAAATAACTTATTAGAGTTACAGATTTTGATTTTATTTTGTTAGAGCAATAAAAAAACTATTTTCAAGTATTTCTCATGTTAAAGATGTATCTATTGAGTTTGCTGATAATTGAAGTATTGATACCAAACAAAGAAATTTATCATAAGATAGCTTATCCATGGATAGCATGGAATTATATATGATTATAAAAATGGAATTGATAATTTAAATATGAATCGAATTGGTTTCAATGGAAATATTATTAGACGATTTCACGAAAACCATATTCGAATTTTACGTTATTTTTGGTTGGATTAATATATTTTCAAAGAATAAAAGAAATCTTTTTTTTCAATTCTAGATTCTTCTCTCGTCTATCATCTGATCCATTTGCACATGAATCTGATGCACCAGAAGCTACTCAGAAATGTGTTATGACATTAAAAAGTATAAAAAAGATTTCTTATTGTCTTTTAGACTAAACAAATATAATGAGTAGAATTATAGATGTTTCTAGTGAACAGATTTGGATAGATTTAAAATTTATTCTTCGTAGTCGGTTTGCTGGATATATAATGGGTGTGAGTATGGATATAACCCTTGTGTTCATCGACCAGAGGTGCAGAATCTACCCGCGTGCGCGTACGGCCATACGGGGAAATTTTTTTGAAAATATTTTCCCTCCTAGAAAAAATTTTATAGTTTTCTAAAAGAATCTTGGTTTATACGTATTTACATGCATCGATAAGATCTTGAACCTTTCTTCTTTCTTTTATTTTCGTTAAATTTTGAAAGAGTCATCCGTTTCTTTCTCGTCGTGTCAGTATCATTTACTTTTGTTTCCGCTGATCATGCATCTCACTACTTTTCTTTGGCTCTTTCCCCTTGTCCGTAATTATGATGCAAAATGCACTATTTGTTGTCTTCTATTTTCGTTTTGGTTTTTCCTTAATGCAAGGTCACTGCTTGCCGTCTTTTCTCTGTTGCTACATATAGTGGTTATTGTATGTGCGTATGTGTACACAACTGCTAGAATGACTAATTTATTGTCACAATGCTACGTTTGGAATCGGAGATGTCCACAAGGCAGGGTAAAAAAAAGGCAATCTTAACTCTGTCCTGAACAGGGCAAGGTAGGAGAAAATCAACTTGTGGGCATCTCTGATTGAAATCCACCACCAATACATTCAGTCGATTTATTTATTACAAGTTCACTCAATGATTATTTTAGTCCTGAGAAAGATAGACAATGATTATTTCGGTAAAAAAAAAGTTAACCATATCTAGTCTGGAAACTTTCTTCTTCTGACTCAGTTGTTTTATCATACATCTTAAACGGGAATAACTCGTTTTTTCATTGAATTTTATATCGGGAAAATTTTTCGAAAAAATTTTGCAGTTTGGGTAAATTTTTTATTTTAGCGGCAGAATCTGCACCTCTGTCATCGACACCCACACCCGAATACGAAAAGTTGTATTGGTGCGGTAGTCTATTTAAATGTTTGATTGCTTCGCACACCTTATTTTCTTGACGTAAATCTACTTGCTAATTATTGTTAAAATCGCTCTTCTTTAGATAGAATCGAAGGAAATCATTAAAATATTGATTATAAAATCAACTTCAAAAAGATAATCATAAAATGTACGTGAAGTGTTTCGTTGGCAAATACAACAAATCAACTTGTTTTTTTTATCATATTGTGTTTATTTATTACGAATAATAGAATAAAAGTGAACAGAATATTGTAACTGATTCAAAAGAAAACAATCTAAATAAAAACATGAGTGAATCACACAGGTATATAAACAGAAAGTAAATCTGTTCTAATTATCAGTTAACACACAAAAATATGAGAAGAATAAGAATGTGATTGTTATTTTATTGTTAAATATAACACTGGTACTATATCACATACGGCACACGATGTTATCACATAGATTGTATAAGAAATTTTCCAATTGATTTTCTTCTTCTGTTATTAAATGACATAAGTTGAGTTTGGAACATTTCAATATGCCTTGTTCACTGCAATCAAATATGAATATTGAGTAATAATGATGAATGATTTAATAGAAATCAAGCTTTCTCATTTTTTTTCTAATCAAGTAGATTCAAAAATGATTTGGATCTTATCTTCATATTATATATTGATAACGACAGATAAGGAAGACTTTTTTGAATTAAGAAATGTTCTAGTAGATCTTAATCTTAACATATTTGCAATACATTGATTTTTCTCTTTAATTTTTCGATATCAATCAATTGGATAGTTTCACTAAGCATTTGAATTGATCTTAACAAATTTCAAGTATTATTAGAGTTTTGTTTTATTTTGTATTGTTGAAATGTTAACGATATTTCTTTTACTAGTTGAATTCTAGTTATGAAATGCTTACTTCTATAGATAATAAATAAAAATCAAATTGTATTTTAAAAATCTTTTATTTCATAAAAAAGGAGGAATAAAGGTTGGAATAAATTTGTACAATAATTATTATATGACATAAAATACTGTACAATATACAAAATATATCTATCGGTTTTTTTTGGTTATTTATGTAAAAGAAATTCTACAAAATCATTATAATTAATTGAACCTGTTTTATTTGGATCTGCTTGACTAATCATATCATTAGCTTCATCTTCAGTTAATTCACTATCCCATAACTAAAATAATAATAATAATAATAATAATAATTCATTTTTAATTTTTCTATATTAACTTACTCTGACAAATCTTTTAAGCTCATTAGCATTAATTGTTCCATTTCCATCTTTATCAAAAACTCGAAATGTCTGTCGAAGTTCTTCTTCTAAATCTTGTGGATTAACATGTGTTGTCATTATTGATATAAATTCTCTCATATCAATTCCACCTGAATGATCTTCATCAGCTGAACCAACTAGTAATTCAGCTTCATTCTCAGCAAATGTCATATCTTTGAAAAAAAAAGACATTTATAATGTATTCAATAAGGGAAGTCTCTCATCTGATCAATCACTTTTGGAGTCAAAACTATTTACATTGTGTAGATCATCATGAGCTATAAATTCCCTGAGATACTACATTCTTATAGTATTTTTTAATTTCCATTAAGACACAAGTTAATAAGAATAGTTTGTTTTGAAAGTTTCAGAGAATTCCATTGTTCCTATTCTCAGATATAACTACAATAAAAGCTTGTTTTCTATAGCGCTGATATACACTGACAGATTTTATGCTCTTATTTCAAGAAAGGAGCAAATCAAAAAACCTGAAATTGCCACAATAAGTTATTTTCCTCAAGATCTATTTCTGTGCAAAGTTTCAAATCAAGATTTGAAAATAAGTGTTCCTTCTGGTCCTAGAGGAAACCATGGAACTAACTTGAAAAATATTGTAAAGATACAATATCTTAGCAATGATAAGCTAAGGGCCTGAACTGTTTTCAGGATATTCATAGCTTATTAGGATCTACATGATACACACAGTCCAAATCCAAGGAAAACTAATCACTTGAGGAATTTTTCTGATAAATTTTTTTCTTTCATTTCATTGAAACTACCTGCGGCTTGCGCAACTCGAATAATATCATTTGGGCAAACGTAACCTTTTGATTCTGAATCCATAAGACTAAAAGCAGCTTGAAAATCTTGAACTTTTTCTGCTGATAATTCAGTAGATAAAGATAAATTTTGAACTCGTGTAGCATCTGCTGATTCATTTTGATTTGTATTATTCATAATTAATTCTCTAAAACTGAATTAGATATAGAGTTTATCTTTCTTTTTTTTTCTTTTCATAATGACAAATATCTCACATACTACTAAACACAAGCACATCAAAGAAAAGAAAAAGATGAGCATAGAATAACATTTAACTTAGAACAAAAAAAAAAAGGAAGAGTATTTCGACTGATAAAAACATACAAATGAATGTTATCTTTCTCTTAAATACAGCAACACATTAACGAAAGAGAAAGAAATATTAAAAAGTTTTGCGACCTATTTATATGTATAGAAGAATTTATTTTATGCAACTGTTCCGGAATGAAAATGCTCCGTTTTGTTTTGATTGTTCATTTAATTGCTTGTAAAACTCCATTAACTTTTTTTGACGTTATTCGACCATCTTCTTCAACTGTTTCTGTTGTTTGTCCATTTTCTTCTACTCTGAAATTATACAAAATATTTAAAAGTTAAAATAAAATATTTTTAATTGACTGTTTTCTTTTTCTTTACCGTGTCGTGACAATACGACGACCATTCATTATTTTAGTTGATTTCGTTGTTTTCTTTGATACGGGTCGCGAATTTCCACTACTACATTAAAAATGAATCAATGAAAATTTTTCGAAGTAATACTAAAACAAACCCAAATGAAAAATTAACTGATGATATAGATCCAGTATGATGTCCACCGAAATCATGATCAAATAGATTATGATCGAATAAAGACATTCGCATTGGAGAAAACATATTATCAAATAAAGCCATTTGTTGTCGATGTGGATCACGTCGTGATGATGATGAACTTTGATTTCCAAAACGATGAAGACGACTATGTAAATCACCGAATGGATTCATACCAAAACCTAAAACATAGAATATTTTGTATTTTTTTACATAGATTCAATGTTTCAGTAAATATACATCATTCATCTCATGCGCAACACAAACATCACTCAGGATATTTTAGATTTAGGAAAAAAAAAAAAGAGAATTTAGAAGAACAAAATTTCTATTTTTTCGTTTATTCTCTTTGTCTCTCACCAAAATGAAAAGCATGACGTGTCCATTTTTCTAAAAGAATCAATTTGAAAGAAAGCACGAAATATGAACTCTTTTTTTTTTAATATTTCTAATTTAATATTGTTTTAATAAAGATGTTTATACTTACCAAAATCATCATCCACACCAAAATGTGACATAAATTGTTCAAATATATCAAATGGATTATGAAAATGAAATGTACGATTAAGAAAATCTTCAGAAAATCTCGAATAACCCCCATTAGATGAATATGCACTGCTTCCATGTCCATTTGATAAACCAGCTCGGCCCAATTGATCATATTTTCGACGTTTATCTTCTACAAATTATTTTAAATTTAATATCTTTTGATAACAAGAACAACAACAACAACAACAATAGAGTTTTTAATCAAATATACTTTCAGCATCGTTTTATTTTGGACTAATACCAGTCAATAGAGGTTGAAATTCTGGATATACCTCATTTGTTCAAAATATGTAGCAGAGCTATGTTGAAATTCATTTTCCAAATATTTATTTTATTAAGATTTTGGCTTAAAGTGATCCAAAATGAGAAAAAAAAGCTTTTTCTTTTTATCCTCTTGACATATTTTTCAGAATGGGTCAGAGGAAAATTCAATACAATCAAAATTTCAAACTCTATTGACTGATATATGTCCCAAGTAAAATGACGCTCAAAGCATATTTTACCAAAATTCGAAGAATAGCCATTTTTCCCTACATTCAGCAATATATTCTTAACAAAATGAAAGAAGAAAACAATGATTTGAAACAATTTAAAAGATTAGTCATTCTGTTGTAAATTCAGCAAAATTTGTTTTTTTCTTACAACGTTAGATTTGTTGAATTTCATTCAAGTGTTGTATATATGACAAAGTTAATTGGATAGATATTAAATGAAAGTAGTAAATATAATTAAAACTCTTTCTTTTCAAATGTGATATTAGCAAATCAATTAACAAACTGATTATTTATTACTGTAAACGAACATTATCTGTATGAATGGAAAAATAAAGACGGCTGTTTTCAATGTTATTTTCATTATCCGAAATATTTTATTTTTTTTATCTTTAACTTACTATCAGATAAAACTTCATAAGCTTCAGAAATTAATTTGAATTTTTCTTCAGCTTGTTTTTTACTTGAAAGATTTTTATCAGGATGCCACTACAAAATATTATTTCAAATGAATAGAAATAAAAAAACATCAATAAATTTACTTTTAAAGCTAATCGACGATATCTAAAAATAGCAGATAAATTATTGACGAAAATAGATCTATATCATAATAAAAACTTACGCTTTTTTGACTTCGTCATCAGTAGCTGTTTTCTCAATTTCCAGTATTTCATAGAAATCAGTCATGATTATTTATACTATTACATAAAAAAAAAAACATATATTAAAAAAATATTCTTTTATTTTCATATTATTTAGGATTTGTTATTTGTTTGTTTATTTTCTTCTATTAGATACCTTATTCTTATATATCTCATTCTGTTCCACAAAAAAAACAAGCCTCCCTCCCCCCCTCCCCACATACTTGTTAGGTATTGGTCTAACCGTCGATGTTTAGTTATATGAGTATATCTCTGGATAAAGAACAAGAAGGAAAAAGAAAGGATACAGCTTCTTCCTTTTTTTATAACGAGAGCTCATATCATGATGATCGTCTTTATCACAAATTGATTAATCTATATACCTATCTTTAAATATTCGACAATGACAATGACGTTGATCAAGGAGAAATAAACCTTCACGTCACAATAATTTATTACTATTGTGATGATCAATCTAAATTTATGATAAATATATACATCTTATTGTTATAGAAATAATAGAAATACTCTTGTTTCTCCGATGATGATTGTGAATTTACTTCTAATTAAACGCAGATATATATAAGAACAAATCTATAGATTGACAATAAGAAAACAATCAATCTGAAATAGATTATAAAAAAAAAAATTTTATTAATAGTGACCGCCAACAATCGATGACATTAGATTATGGCTATCTTGGAATGTTTTACACTTAGACACTTGCCTTTTTCTTTTCTTTTCTCCTCTATATTCTTTGCTACTGTTTCTCCAAATATTCATCGGAAGAGATAAATGATCTGAAGCATTGTGGAGCTGTTCGCCTGCTGCGCTTATTTGACAGAATTACACAGATTTTCTCTCGTTAATCTCGAAGGATCAATAAACATACACATACGTCAGTGGTTCTCTCGAAACATTTCCGATGACATCAATAAAGAAAAAAACAATTACAAGCTTCCTAACCAACTTGTCTTAGTGAAAGAAAGGAATAACTATACACTTGTGAACGCAATGAACCTAAGATATCAAGCAAGTATGACTTTTTTCAACATTCACCTTGGATAAATCACTCTTTTGAACTAATAAAAGTGCATCGTTCATATAAAAAAAAAACACTACCTGTCATATAAAAATCACTTACTGGAAAAAACCTCTCGTAAAAAAGTACGTGTCTCGTTATTCTCCTTGTTTTAAATCACTAGAAAAATGTTAGACGTAGAAGACTTCAAAATAAATAAAGAAATGATGATAAAAAAAGAAGAATGAATAATATAAAATACGTCAAATATTATTCTTAAATGAGAAATTAATGCGTTCGAATTACCTACACTTTATTGGTCATAATTTTCTTTCGATTAATAAGCGAGAAAAAGCGACGACGAACAATATTTAGATGTCATAAAGGAGGCGAAGGACAAATAAAATAAATAAACAAACAACAGTTGAGATAGTATTATTCGATAAAATTTTCACCAATAAAAAAACAAATCTCGAATTAAATCAAATGCATTACTGTGTCAAAACATGAGTCATGTGCTCTCTGGACATAGTTTAAAAAGACATATATTCATGTCAACTGATTCAATTACGTGTTAGATGAGTAACTTTTTCAACTAGTACTTTTTCATTTTTGTTTTGATTGAGAAATTTTCTTCATTAATTTTCATGTAGTTTTTAGATTGATTTAAATAAACGAATTTATTAAAAATGCGTTGGGAATTTAAAGTAAATAATCCATATGAAAGTCGACGAGCAGAAGGTAAAAAAAAAATAGTTACTTTAGATATATTGAATGTTATTTTTTTAATTACACATAGGTGAACGTATTCGTCGTGAATATCCGGATCGTTGTGCAGTCATTGTTGAACGTGCACCTAATTCACGTATTGCAGATCTTCCATCAAAAAAATATTTAGTACCAAATGATCTTACAGTAAATTTTTATTAGATTTTGTTTTGTATATTGTTGAATTTTTTTCTTTCAAGGTTGGTCAATTTTATTTTTTGATTCGTAAACGAATACAACTTCGACCTGAAGATGCACTTTTTTTCTTTGTTAATAATGTAAATATTTATTTTTATATTTTTCTTATTTTATTTTATTTTATTTTATTTTTATTGCTAGACAATTCCAAGTACATCAATGACTATGGGAGAACTTTATCAACTACATGTGTGTATTTAAATCAAATTTATTTGAATTGGTATATATATATATATATACATATGTGTGTTTGAATTTTAGGCTGATGAAGATAAATTTTTATACGTGGCTTATAGCGATGAATCAGTTTATGGTTAAATAAAACAATGTTCATACATTTTACAATGTATATAAAACGTTTTATTCTTTCTTTGATGATGATTTAAGAAAAAAAAAATGTCGAAAATGTTGTCATCTTGATTTGTATATATGTATTGAAAATAATCATCTTTGTTTTCGTGTTTTTGCGTATTGGCTTTTTGTCTTCGTTTGTATTACTTTTTACTTCTTTGCCATCATCAATATTGAACATATTTATTCGAGATTATTAACAGAAATTATACGCAATAAAAGCTTCAATGTAAACAACAAATAAATTCATTTGAATTATTTTAGCAGATAACATATTGTATTATGAAACGATAATATTCACTAAAAAAGAATATTCTCTTTTATTATCTCAAAAAAAATATTAGTAAACACAAGAAAGGTAATAATTTCTAAGTATTATTTAGTGGCTCGTAAATGTGACGTATTTGTGTTAGAGATAATCAAATCGTCAATATATATATACTTTATCATTGACACTTATCCAAATTTTCTTTTTTTACATAACAAGAGTGTGGGAGTGTCTATCTTCGGATTCAACATTGCATAGAATATTGACTCATGGAGCATATGGTGTAATGCATGAATTCTATCTGAATAATAGACTAACAAAAACGACTAAAAGAGATACAAAATGAGTCAAACATGAGTAGTAGCAAGAAAATCCCACTAATATTATTCCAGAGGCGATGAATAATTAATGTGGAAACGTAATATGATTGTTTTTAAATAAAAAAATATTAAATTACGAATCATATTTTATTTGAACAAAGTTTTTAATGTCAATTTGAAAAATAATATGAAAGAGCTTTGACGAATTTGATGGTATATCATGTTGTGCTCATGGTCATTGCGCTCCCTAAGAAGTTCGAATATAAATTTATGCAATTTTTTTTTTAAACTCAGTTAGACACGACTGTAGATGCTATTCAATTTTCTATAATTAGTAGTTTTCATCGTTACCATTTTTCATACTTAAAAATGGTTCTTTTTCTAAAGTCTAAATTATTTCTTGACCATATGGTATTCCAGCGTGTTCAACTTTATGCCACAGAACAAATGAGTACCAACGCAAAACTTTCTCAAAAATTGCACACTATCGAGCTCTTCATGTTTTACATATAAGACCTTTCAGAACAAAAGGAACATATTATCCCTTTAAACCCTTACACGAAGTTTGGAAGTATGAAAAAATTTATTTTGGAAATGACAATGAAATATGTACATGCATAGATTCTTCTAGAGTTCCAGGCATAAATCAAACCTTGATCTTTAGAATAAAACATTAAAAAAATAATAAAAATAATAGACTTGCTTTCTGCAAGCATATACTCACCTCTAGGGTGTTGAATTTGTTTAAAAGTTTTTGATAGAAAGGTATAGACATTGGTTAGGTACTTGAGTGCATACCTCATCAAGTGTATATGCGCTGAGACAATGCTCAGCAGGATATTCGAAAGGCATTCTGCTGACAAATGACACTATACAAAGGTACCTTGAACTCTGTATACTCTCTAGGGAATATTTCGAAAACGATCATGACTCATGTCATTCTAAGAAAATCGATTCGACTAATTTTGCTTCACTATTGTGTATTACATGTGATAAATATACTGTTGACGACGTAAGAAAAAACAACAGCGTATTTTGATACTTGTTCAAGATGTTTTTATTCAATGATTTTATATAATCGTTTTCTCTAATGTATATTCCAAATGGTATAATTAATATTAAAGTAAACATTTTTGTAAACATTTTGATAATTGAAGACAATTCAAGAGAAGAAAAATATAAAGTTTTTGACAGATGTAGCCCATGTATTTCGGATATGATTGAATAGATGTAAAAATGAATACAGTCTTTGATTGATTATATTTTATTTTAAATTTATTCTTAACGTAGTTAATATTCCAATCGAAATTCATTTATAATGAATTCATTTAAGTGACATTAATATTTGTACTCTATTTATTCTATGCGACTATTTGAAGTTTGCAAGTAATGATAACTAAAATGAAGGTTCCTAGTACTATTTTCTACTGTTAATTTCAAATTTATTTGTGATTTAAATTAAATAATACACTTACTAAATCGGATAATCAAAAAAGTATCAAAGTTACTTCAGTATATGAACATAAATATTCATACAGGTTTTCATGTAATTTTTAATATCATGTAATTAGTGAAAATGTATACTTCAAATATATAAAGTTCAAACAATCTATTGCTATTTTTCTTTTTGTATAAATAATTAAAATTCTTATTTTTTGATTTTAATTATAATAAATACGCTTGATTGATCATTTTTTGTCATTATAAACATCTAGATTACTTCTGTCACCCCCCCCCCCCCCCCCCCCAAAAAAGTTTTCATAAAAAACATAACCAAACGGAATAATATTTCAATTGAAATTTCCTCATTCTGAAAAGAGTTACAAACACTACTCGAATGTAAAATGACTAATGCATTTCAGATACGTTTAGCGTTCATTTTGAATTTTTTTTTTCATGAAAATTGATTGTATTGATTGAGAACTCATTAAAAACCTATAGACGATTTGTGACATATTTCACTATGTTGGATAAAACACTTTCCTGTATGAACAATGGTTAACTATAAGATAATGTCCTTAGTATAATGATTATTCTTTTATTGGTCCAGGGGTGAATGATATTTATCTATCTATACATGTGGATAAATTGTGCGAAGGAAAAAGAAAAAAAAAATCAAA